AGGATCTGTTGTCATGGTCAAGATATGAGATACATTGAGAGACAACTACAAATTGCTCTAAACAGAATCATAAAGTGGACCAACACAATGGTTTTAAATTTTCTAGCCAGAAGACCGTCTGCATGCATTTCTGTCGCAAAAGAAATTTACATCTTTGTCCAGAGCTGCATTTTGACAGCTTTTTGATCCGCGTTGAGCCAGAAGCAAAATTCTTAGGAATTATGTTTGACAGAAAGCTCACTTTCCTTCCACATATCTTAAATCTAAAGAAAAAATGGGCCAAAGCTCTCAACATACTGAAAAACCTGCCCAATACAGTACAAAGTCCGTAATCTGGACATCCATTATCCGGAACGATCTATAATCTGGACCTCAAAGCCATAAACTTTTTTTTGTATGATTTACGCATGCGCGTTTTATGTATGACGGATGGTATAAGCTAGGCTAAAATTATCTTTACGGATTCTAAGGCATTTCAGTTAATGTTGCAGATTGCGCTTAATCTTCTAATTGGATCCGGCTTATTATTTTTGCAGACTGTTAGAGCAATTTTATAAAAATTAAGCTTGAATTTTCGATTATGTCAAAAAATGTTTCTAATTTTGGAGCTGCCCAAGGATCTACAAAGCAAAAGCATGTTTCAATGTCTATCAAACAAAAAGTAGAATTGCTGCAAAAAAATGGATAAAGGCATATCCGTCTTAAATTTGCCAGGAGTATGACATTGAAAGTCAACTGTATATGACATAAGCAAAAAGGAACTTTAATTTTTTATGGATTCTGATACCCCACTTGCAATGAATAACAGAAAAAGGGTTCGTTATGCTAAATGTGATGATCATGACAAAGTGATGATTGAATGGATCGGACAGTGTCGCAGCGAGGGTGTTCCATTGACGGGTCCAATACTAATGGCTCAAGCCAAAATATTTCATGAAGAAATGAACTTAAACACTAAGTACACATATTCGACAGGTTGGTTAACCAAATTTAAAAATTGCCATGGTATGAGACAATTAAGAATTTTGGGTGAAAAAGCTTCAGCTGATACTGAAGCTGCTGAACAATTCGGAGATGAATTCATTGAACTCATTACTAGTGAACAATTATTTCCAGAACAAATTTACAACGTTGATGAAACTGGTCTTTTCTGGCAATAGGTATCATGAAAACCTTTACAGAAAAGGCTCCAACTGATGTCAAAGATTCCAAAGCGAGACTAACAATTTTAGTGTGCACAAATGCTGCAGAAACACACAAGTGCAATCTTTTCGTAATCACAAAACATGCACGACCTCAAGCATTTAAATGAGTACGATTTTCCCAGTTATATACGACACAAATAAAAGAGCATGGATGACACAAGCGTTGATAAATGATTGGTTTGAAAATAATTTTATACCCGAGGCTCTGCGACGTTTGAATTCGGTTGTTTTACTTGATGACTCAAAAAGAGTTCTGATTGTTGACAACTGTTCGGCGCATGCTTCACTTTACAAGTTTTAGTGAAAGATAATGTATCCATATTATTCTTCCCTCCAAATTATACATCTATCATTCAGCCTATGGATATGGGAATAGAGCACGTGCTGAAATGCAAATATAAAGTAGCATTTTAAAAATCTATGTTAAATTTCTTGAACTATGGCAAGACTGACTATTCAAGACTTTTTGAAATTTTTTAGCATAAAATCTGCTGTGTGGATCATCGCAAGATCGTGGGAGGATGTGTTTCCAGATGCGTTAAAAAATGCTTGGCATAATTTATGGCCAGCTACCGTATTTCATGGTGAGGGCGATGAAGATGATAGCCGTGAATTTGAAGATTTTCAGACATCGCAAAATAAAGGTGAAAATTTTCCAGTTATTGAAAGAAATGTGGAGAAGTGGTAATAAATGAAGATGATATAACATAAGTTTTTCATTGCGATGACAATGTCCCAATCATTAATCAATTAACGGACGGCGAAATCTGTAGTATGGTTCTAGATCCAGAAAATACCTCTTCCGATAGTGAAGAAAGTGACAGAGAGTTTATTGAAAATGAAAAAATTTTGATTTAAAGTTAGTCGGTATTCTCAACACTGCAATTACAGGACTTGAACAGTGGAACTTTGTAATTGAACAAGAAATTATGTAGTTTTTTGAATTAAAGAGAAAGTATTAGCACAAAAAACGAAGTAACTTACATTGAAAGAAATATTTAATAAAGTAAACAAATAAATATGAAGCCTTTTTTGTAAATTTTGATACCCTTTAGATCATAATTGCTCTTTATTTCATAAATTACGGTTTCATATTTTTAATTATATAATTTCTGCATGCCATCTTACCAGATTTAAATTCATGATATATAGTATGGAAAACTCCCCAATCCGAAATCGCCGAAGTCTTGACGAGTCCGGATTTCGGACTTTGTACTGTACTTCATGGGAAACAGAGCATTGTTCTATGCTCTGCATTTATAGAGCTTTAATCCGTTCCAAACTATGGCTGTGTTATCTATGGATGAGCAAGGCCTTCTGTGCTATTGAAATTGGATCCAGTCCACCATCAAGAGCTACGGATTTGCTGTGGAGCTTCCAGACCATATCCAGTCCAAAGTTTATATGCTATCTGTTTTGAACCATCTTTGGAATTCAGACGCAAGCAGTTGTCCATTGATCTTCATTATAAAGAAATGTCACAAGCTGAACATCCTGTCCGACTTGCGACATCTGATCAGTACTGGCGTATCTACCAAGCACATCCTTCATATATCCCACCTTTTGATCTTCATTCACTCACGATTGAAGAATCCGACCTAAAAGATCTGCATCCCAAAAGCTTTAACTTTTTCGGTATTGCTTCCTAGCAAGAAGTGAATATTTACCTACTTAACATTTTTGGAGAACTTAGAAGAGCAGTACCAATGATGTCCAATATCAACAAATTTTCCTAGAGCATAGAAGCAGTTATTCTAACTACAAAGCAGTTTTTACTAATGACTCAAAGAATCATGACCACGTCGGGGCAGCTTTTGTTTGTGATAAAGAAATAGTAAACTTTACAAGGCTAGTAGTAAACTTTATAAGGCTGCATCTGTCTTTACTGCAGAAAATTTTGCCATTTTGAATTCCGTAATCTTTATCTCTAAACAGAATAGCAGAAAGTTCATCATCTACTCTGACTCCCTGAGTGCTCTTGAATCAATAAATATGAATACTAGCCAACCTTTGGTCTTAGAAATTTTAAAGGCACACCTCTTTTTGAGAAATGCAGGTTATTGTATTACATACTGCTGGGTGCCTGGACATGCTGCCATCAAAGGCAATGAACTCTCTAATGTCGATGAAAGAAGGTAACGATCCTATTTGTAAAACTTGCAACGTTCCCATTTCAGTCAATCGCATTTTATATGCTGCTCTGCTTCTAGTCAGAAATGTGAATATCATTTTAACTCTACGAATGCTAACAGATCTCATTGGAAGAAGAAGTCTTCACATCAGCCTCATAAGATTTTTAAAAGACATCTCTTTTTACCATATGATTTAAAGTTTTTTTTTTTCTTTTTATCCTGCTCTACCTATTGCTAGAGTATTTTTTAAAGTCATTTCTCCATGCCTTCATCAGCATTACAGGTTCATTTCAACAATTCATGTGATACACTGTGTTTGTGCATTTTAGATTTTATTCAGCATTTATCTAGCATAATAACCTTCAAGGTTTTGTGCTGTAAAAAAGCCAACCAACCGACTAATCATTCAGTAATGCAGAAAAATGTTCAGTTCTTGAATATAATTGAGGCTACATAAATTCTATCAAATAATGATTCTAAATGGTGGCGAGTAGTTCTTTGCTAACGTTTGAAATTCTTGTGTTGCTTCATATCCAGCATTTCTTAATTCCTCTTATATCCTTTTCAGCAGTCTGAAAATGTAATGCCATTCGCGATGTTTTCCTGAATGGTAGTCATCAGTGTTGTAGCACAACGATCGGGACCAGAAAACATTCCCTGTTTTTCCAACATAAACCCCCAGATACCCACTGTTCCGGAAGAATAGGTCCAACGTTTTTTCTTTTTGTGAAAAGACTTTTGTCAATTTTTATGATTTTATTGGCTCCACCGATTTTATTTCGTTTACGAAACATCAAAGTATTTGCACATACCTCGCTTAAGTAATTATTCCAATCTACTCTTGTATCATGGCTAGTTTTTAACTGAAGTTGGCAAAATTTAATCAATGTTAGTTCCTGAAACTACAGATGGATAAAACAAATGGCATTGAGGAAAGAAAGATGAGTTTTCAACCACGTTTTGGTTCTCAATCCTTTTTTTTCCCCCATATCAAGAATGTACGCAACAATGACACCCAAGAGCTTTGTTTGAGTCAAAAGTTAACTTCATCAGATGATTTTCAGAACAAAGTCTATTGCTACGTTGTCCTGAAAGAGACTTATGGCAGCCTCTTCATCATTACGTAATTGCCAAATAGTGTAATCCATCAAGCTAAAAAAAAAAAAAAATGGCAAAATATCACAAAAAATAACGACTGATATTTTGAATGAAAATTAGAAATTTTGAGCCATGATATTTCAAACATAAATAAAGTATTCAAAATAATGAGTGATGATATTTCAGACAAAAACTAGAAATCTTGAGCCACAATGTTTCAAACTTTAAATTCTCAAGGGACGATATTTGACATGTTGTTGTAACATTTTTTTTTTAATGCCTCTTTAACGGAATAGTACCTAACCTATTCATATTACAATTTTTCTAAGTGCATATGAATATAGTTTCCATTTTTAGTGAAAATTCTTTAATACAATTGTTAACATTTTCTCTGAAAATGTGTGGAAATATGTCTCTCATTAATGATGCCAAATGTTGTGTTAAATTCTGCATATTATTTCGTTACTTCTGAATAAAATTCAGCTTTGAACCATGATCCAAGAATTAGTACATTGAATTTTATGTTGCTTTTACAAATTAATTTATGAATTGTTTTTCTTTAAAGGGTCTGAATTTTTTAATCCCTATTGTTGATAAAGTGAAATATGTCCAAAGTCTAAAAGAATTGGCAATAGATATACCTCAGCAGTCAGCAATAACTTTAGGTAAGTTAAATTAAAATTTGCTGCATATTAATTTGTTATTTAAATCTTTTCACTTTGATTCGATTAATTTACAAACATAAAGAAAAGTCTTAATAGCTCCTGTTGTAATTCTTCAATAAACGGAGGTCGGATTTTGTTTTCTTTGTTTCAAGATGTTGATTGTAGACAGATTTGTTAGGTTGCACAGAAGTTGTTATATCATGTTTAAATTAATATGACTAAAGGGGAGATAAATTGACAGTTCAAGTTTACAAAGGAAGAGTTTACATGCAGTGTCATTAAATTGTAGTTAGACTCAAATAGCAGTATGCACTTCAAAATTTTTTTTACTGTATTAGATTGGTGAAAATGACCAGCTTCTCTATCCAATAATATATAAAAATTTGATGATTTGAAGTGATTACCACAGAATTGAGCATTTCATTTGAAAACTTTGCACCAATGCATGTCTGCCTTCTGTTAATCTTTTTGAAGGATTTTGAAGGATATCTTGGTTCAGAAAGTTGAATTGCTAATTATTATGTTGAATACTTGTCATGTATTTTTGAATTTATAACTTTTTTTCCCATTTATTATAAATTAAATTAATCAGTGTTTAGATTTTTTTTGTAGTTTTGAAGCTGAAATAACTGCTTCTGTGACACTTGATATATTTATATACAGCATGATGTTGATAAATCAAAATAAATGTAATCTTTTGGTGTAAAATTCAGCTGTTTTAGAACAGTGTTTCCTTTCTTATAATTCACTAGATAGTTTAATTTTAACTTCCCCCCTTTGGAGGTATTTTTCTTTCTTTGAATAGTAATTTAAAGATAATTTCTCATTCTGCCGAATTAGAGGTAGCTACTATGTAATACAGTCAAAAGTCTTTAATCAGGACTCGTCGGGACTTCGGCGATTCCGAATTATTGGTTTTTCTGTATTTTAGATTATCAGTTTAAATCTGGTAAGATGGCATGCAGAAATTATAAAATTAAAAATATGAAACCGTAATTTATGAAATAAAGAGCAATTATAATCTAAAGGGTATCAAAATTAGCAAAAAAGCTTTATGTTTACTTTATTAAACATTTCTTTCAATGTACGCATGCGTAAAGCATATATTACGCATAGTCGAAATTAGAAAATTGCAACTAGAAAACTATTTGATGTGTATTTGTGATATTTATAATAATGAGGAATTTGATTTAAATCATATCAAAGACAGAGTACATCAAGATGAAATACTACATTTAGTAAGGAATTATAAGCCCAGTGTAATAAAAACATTTGCCGTGAAAATAAGGATGGTGCTGACAGATCAACTTCCAGTTCATAGCGTGCTGCACGTCCCCCCCCCCACAGAACACATAGACTCCAACTACTACGGATTCTCCGTAGTTTCTACGGAAATTCATGAAACCTACGAGCTACGAAAAGTATGGAAAAAACTACGGATTTTACAGAAACAAGAGCAGGAGAACCAGTACGCAAAACGGAACCAACTAATTCATCCGATGATTGGCTGAATACTTGTGTTATCATATATCACGTGTTGAGTGCGTTCCTAGTTTTGAAGAATTAGCCAATCGTAGATCAGTAACTCCAACCGTTAACGACTTATCAATAGTTCCACCCAATTGTCTGTCTCCCAGGTTCCTCGCTGATGCGTGTTTAGGCTGCATTCGGCTGCATTGTGTAGTTTACGGCGAGAGCTTAGCGTGTGTCTTGTGAACTGTGAATCAGGTGAAAGATTTTTAATCATAATGCTGCCTCGAACGAAGAAGCCAAAATTATCAAAGCAGAAGTTTAAAGATTCATATTCTTCAGAATTTCCATGCATTAAAGCGTCCGAAATTTCTGTGAATCACGCACACTGCAGTGTATGCAACAAAGACTTCTCAGTTGCTCATGGCGGAAAAGATGACTGTAAACGGCATGTGTTTTCTCAAAAGCATATAGAACTTGGCACCGTAAAATCTAAAGAAATAACAAATTTCTTAATAAAAGATGATGAAACAGATCCTATAAAAGCCGAATGCTATTTTGTTCGTTTTTTTAATTGAACATAATCTACCGCTTTCTGTTTCGGATCATTCCAAAGAGCTTTTCAAAGCAATGTTTCCGGATTCTGCCATAGCAAAAAAATTTAGCTGCGGTCATACCAAAACTGCTGCTATTGTGAAAACGCTTGCAGAAAATACTGTTTGCTGATATTATAAAATCAGTGTGCAGTACATCATTTTCTCTAAGTACTGATGGAAGTAATGATAACAATGATAACAAACTGTACCCATTGGTTATAACATACTACAGTAAAGAAAAGGGAGTGATAATTACTTCATTGATTTCTATTTTAGAATGCACGAATAATACAGGAGAAGGTATTTTTAATTGTATAAATGAAAACTTTAAAAACAAAGGTTTAGAATGGAAAAATTGCTTATCATTTTCTTCAGATAATGCTAGTAATATGATTGGAAAGTTTAAAGGTGTAGCATCATTTATCAAAATGCATCAACCAAGTATAATCACCCGAGGTTGTCCGTGCCACCTCTTGCATATAGCTGCAAAAAAAGCTACTGAAAAATTAATTGGCTCAGAAATTGAAATGTTGATAATAGATATATATTTTTACTTGGAGAAAAGTTCGAAACGGAAGCATAGCTTCAAAGTTGCTCAACAAATTTTGGGACAGAATGCAAAATCTCATAAAATTTTGAAATATTGCAGTACGAGATGGTTGTCTCTTTTAGAATCTATAACAAGGATTTTGGAACAGTGGGATGCTGTGATAAATTTTTTTGGAGATAAACCAGATAACAGTGAGAATGAAGGAAAGAGATTGCAAAACATTAAAAAAATTTTACAGTCACCGACCACCAAATTGTACTTGTTATTTTTGAAAAATACTTTGCCTTTGTTTATAACAGTAAATATTAATTTGCAACAACAAGCTCCTTATATACATAAATTGAGAAGAGAACTTTTTGAACTTTTAATGAATTTATTTGTTAGATTCGTAAAACCATCAGTAATTTCTAAAGAAAATGAAGATGTTACTCTAACGTCTATTCCATTTCAGAAGTATAGTAAACAAAAAGAAAATGAAAATTTAGTGATTGGTGCGGAAACAAGACTATATTTAAAAAATGCCAAGTTGAATGAAAGTGAAGTGAAATCATTTTTCAATTCTGTGCGAGTTTTTTTTTTTGTAACTGCATGTTCATATATAATTGATAAATTTCCACTGAGTGATCCATTTCTAAAGCATGCTGAAGTTGCTGACATCAACTTGAGAACTGAAGTCTCATTTTCATCTGTTCTTTACTTGATGAATACTTTTCCATCCATTATTGATGAAAAATGTCTTAATCAAGTAGAAATTGAATTTTCCATGTATCAAGTAGATGATTTGAAAGAAATTGTAGATTTGCGTATTGATATAGCATGGGGAGAAATTGCCAAATTAAAAAATATGAATGGGTGTATTAAATACAAAGTATTGCCTTCTGTAATGCTTGCTGTCTTAATAATACCTCATTCAAATGCAGCTTGCGAAAGAATTTTTTCTATTGTTAAAAAAAATCAGACGGAATTTCGACCAAATTTAGGTCTTAAAACTCTTGAAGCAGTTTTGATTGAAAAAAATAAATATGCAGCAGGCAAATGAAGAACTGTGTTATAAAAAAACATTCTCAAAATCAGAACTTAAGCTTGCTAAGCATGCTACATATAAATCTTTGCATTCATAAATTATGCGTATTTTGTTTAATACTTATATGTATCATTCTTGGTTATTTAAATTTTATTTCCCTGTAGAAATCATATCCAGAATAAAGATATGATTTATAGCTTCTGATTTTTTCTATGATTAGTAGTGATTTGAAGTACTTTTTATTAGTGAATGCTTGAGGAGTTAAAAGAAAATTTCTAATTAAATGTGCATATAATTTACAAGGTATATTTTTAATTATTCAGTTTTATATGTATATGGATTTTAAATGTAATAAAATTGATTACAATTAATTATTAATTTAAAATTAATGAATGGTTAATTACAACATACGCTACGCGCACATTTTCAAAGTTGTAAAAATGTCGTTCGCGCGTTGACTACTGACAAGGTTTGCTGAAGGTTAGAGTCTATGAGAACAGCATGAAATTCAGAAACAGATTTCAGAATTGTTCGAGAATCAAAGGGTACTTTATCCATTTTTTGCAGCAATTCCACTTTTTGTTTGATGGACATCGAAAGATGCTTTCGCTTTGTAGATCCTTTGGTAGCTCCAGAATCGGAAATTCGTTTTGACATAACCGAAAGTTCAAGCTTACTTTTAAAAATTGCTCTAACAGTCTGCAAAAAATAATAAGCCGGATCCAATTAGAATATTAAGGAACAACACAATCTGCAAGATTAAGTGAAATAGATAATTAGATAATTTTAGCTTAGCTTATACCGTCCGTTATACATTTAACACGCATGCATCAACATATTATGCACATGCGTAAAGCATGCGCAGAAAGTTTGTAGCTTTGAGGTCCAGATTATAGATCATTCCGGATTATGGACGTCCGGATTAAAGACTTTTGACTGTAATTGTTTAATAACTCTGCACTTTCTGTATGGGTTCTTGTATGGATGCTTAAGAAATTTGCATCTATTACATTCATTTCTTGCTTAATACAGTTTTATTTAGCTTTGTTTTTAGAATTAACATAATCTATCAGTTGCATTCTATTATTACCTAACATCTTCAAAAGAAGCTAGTAACTCTCTTATCTTTTAACACTAGTAGTTGGATGGTTAAGACCCCTAAATATTGGGAGTTTGACTCCAGGCAAAAGGGCTGGCTGCATTTTTGGGTATGGTATTATGTTCTCCCATGTTGAAAGTGAATACAAGCCTTTAGCAACTGTTTGCCTGGAAGATGGTGTACCTTGACACGATCACCAAATGAGAAATCATGATTCTTCTGACCAGGCAATTGTCTTCCATTCATCCATGATCCAGTCTC